AGGCATGGGGCTCCATCCCTACATGCTCCCCTGCTCGTCACTCCTGACAGGCAATTGGCTAGTACATATTATACTTATATACAGTGCTTTGTTCCATCTATTTTTCATATCATAACATGCTATGCATGGTTTTCATTTTGTTTATATTGGTAGAATATGTAATCATACTGTATGCTTTTGGCAAAGAACGTATACTATAGACTTGTATTAGTATATTCTATAGAAGGCACTGGGTAACATGGGGCCCCTACAGGATAGACTTGGCAATCTGGTGATTGTAGCAAATGAAAAAGCTGACCACTTTAACGAATTCTTTACCTCCATATTCCTGAACAGGGCCCGGGACATCTCCTCCACTAGACTTGCAGACGGACCCAGGGGAGGCACCACCATGCCTAGGGTCAGGGACAACTTAGGGAACTTTTGGAGGGGCTAGACGTGTTTAAATCAGTAGGTCCAGATGCTCTTCACCCGAGGGTGCTGAGGGAATTGGCGGGGGAGTCATAGCGGGGCCCCTGGCACGGCTCTATGAGCACTCGTGGGGCACTGGCCAGGTACCAGAGGATTGGAAAAGGGCCAATGTGGTCCCCACTTACAAGAAGGGGAGAAAAGAGGACCCGAGCAATTATAGACCAGTCAGTCTTACCTCGGTCCTTAGGAAGACCTTTGAGAAAATTATCAAGGAACACATCTCCAAGGGCCCAGCAGAGGAGGTAATGCTCAGGAGCAACCAACATGGGCTCACTGAGGGCAGGTCCTGCCTGACTAACCTGGTTTCTTTTTATGATCAGGTCACAAAGTCCCTGGATGAGGGTGTCAGGGTGGCTGTCGTCTTCCTGAACTTTAAGAAGGCCTTTGACACGGTCTCCCACCGCATGCTCTTAAAAAAAAACTTGGTGACTGTGGCGTTGATACAGAGTCAGATGCGTGGCAAATTGGCTAGCAGGTCGCACCCAGAGAGTGGTGGTGGACAGGTCATTTTTGACCTGGAGGGATGTGGGCAGGAGAGTCCCCCAGGGTTTGGGACTGAGGCCTATACTGTTCAACATCTTTATCAGCAATCTGGATGTGGGTGTGGAATGCACAATGTCCAAATTTGCTGATGACACCAAGTTGTGGGCGAGGTGGGCACGCTGGAGGTGAGGGACAGAATCCAGCTAGATCTAGACAAATTACCGAGATGGGGGGGATGAGAATAGGATGGAATTCAGCGCAGACAAGTGCAAGGTGCTGCATCTAGGGAGAAGGAACCAGCAATGCACCTATGGGCTGGGGAACACCCTTGTCAACACAGTGGCAGAAAGGGATCTTAGAGTCATTGTTGACTCCAGGATGAACAAGAGCCGCCAATGCGAGGATGTGGTCAGTAACAGCTAACCACACCTTGTCGTGCATCTATAGATGCATCACAAGCTGGTCCAAGGAGGTGATCCTTCCCCTCTATGTGGCATTGGTCAGGCCACAGTTGGAGTACTGCGTCCAGTTCTGGGTGCCGCACTTCAAGAGGGATGTGGCTAGCATTGAGAGGATTCAGAGGAGAGCCACTCGCATGGTCAAGGGGCAGCAGGGCAGGCCCTACGAAGAGAGGCTAAAGGGCCTAAACCTAGTCAGCCTCCACAAGAGAAGGCTGAGAGGGGATCTGGTAGCCATTTACAGACTCACCGGGGGGGACCAACGGGAACTGGGGGAGGCTCTGTTCTCCCGGGCACCACCCAGGGTTACTAGGAATAACGGCCACAAATGGTTAGAGAGAAGGTTCAGGCTGGACATCAGGAGACATTACTTTACAGTTAGGGCTGCCAGGCTCTAGAATAGGCTCCCAAGTGAGGTGGTACTCTCTCCTACCATGGGGGTCTTCAAGAGGAGGCTGGACAGATATTTGGTGGGGTGATATGATCCCGGCACCCATTCCTGCCCGGGGCAGGGGGTTGGACTTGATGATCTATTTAGGTCCCTTCCAACCCTAAGTACTATGATACTGTGATATAATTTTATTGACCACTTTATTGTATTATTTTAGCAAAAACTGTAAATAAATGCAAATAACCTACTACTAATTTCAACCACAATTGACTTCTCCAACCATTTCCCCACAAGAGTAACCTCACCCATGGCAAGATCTGTATTGGAGTGTCTGGTTCAGGAAAGAGTACATCCACATGAGGATCTTAAGGAAAAAAATTACCCCCAAGTGATCCCATTAGGACTTCATACTAGCTATGGATTTAAATGATACAGCTCCCAGGAGAAAATCAGGGATAGATGCAAAGAAAAAGGCAACCAACAACAGAAAAATGACTCGAGAGTCTGTCCATCCTACTTCTGGAGCATTCAAGAGCATCACCAAGAAGACTGTCCTCTTTGTCCCTCCCATTCTACCTGTCTCAAACCCAGAAATGAGGCATTGAAGCTACTCTGAGAGAAATCCCCTACCACTCTCAAGCATGCTGGAGACAGATCTCGAGAGTGGGGCAGTAGGTGCTCTCAGGGCAGCTCCACTCTGCCAATCCCAGGACTGGTGTATAAAAAGCAGGAGCAGGTGGGCACAGATTTCTGAATACCACCTACCAAAGCAATGAGGATATGCTTTTTGTTACCAAAAACCAATAATAAGGAAAGAAAACACCTTATCATCATTTCAGACACAATGTAAATAAGATATTTACTTTTGCTTGCAGTAACTGTGCCAATACTTACTTATCATAAAAATCTGCCATTTTAGGACTGAGGAAACCTTCTACATCAAAAAACCATTGACTATCTTTGGAGAGGTCCAAAGCCTATTAAATAAAAAAAAAAAGAGTTATAGATATCTCATCAGCAATAGTGTTGAAATAAATGTAAAATGCTATAAATCAGTGAAAGTTGGGGAAACAGGGAAATGAACTGAGTCTGCATAGGCAAGGAAGTTAAGGATATCATGATTTTAAAAAAATCCTTGAGGAAATCAGTAACATTTAGGTTGTCATTTATAAAACAGCCCAATCTATAGTAATGAAAAGTTGTTAACATGTGGAGACAGTTTAATGACCTATAGACATTAAGGTGGTGACTTCAACCACATATCACAAAAATCATCACATATAGCTATTATTGGCAGTCTGAGCAGAGACACCAAAAATTCAATGGATCAGATATTTAAAGATGTGAAAGATTTTTCTCTCTTCCCCACCTCCCCTAGGCATGTTTTTTGTTCAGATAGGAATGTTACAGTTCAGGAATGTTACAGTTCAGATGTCAAAGATGAGGGCTAAGGCTCTGATGACCCACAAAAGTTTAGCATATAATTAAATCTTAAGTATGTGAGTAATCATACTGAAGTCAGTGAGATTATATATGTGCTTAAATTACATACATGCTTCCATGCCTTAATGAACCATAGCTTTATCTTATAGTCTAATGAAGTTTGTGTGTCAAGATTTCTTGGAACCACTATGCTCATTCAGTATGGTGACTTCAATCCTTTAACTTTCCAAGAGGAATTAATTAAATTTAATGCAATTTATTGTGCAAAGGCCATGCAGGCAACATAAAAGCTGATGTCTTGTCTGCTGATTTTAGATGCTAAAAACCCAAAGTACTATTTTAAGGCAATGATTTATCTTACTATTCAGTAGCATGTCATAAACTACTTTCTAATTGTTTAGAAAAATGTTTAAACAATTATTATGCAACTAGCAAAAAAGTATAAACTGTAGTAATCTAGCACACTAAACTAGGGACAAAATTTTCAAAATTGCTTATGCATCATCTTAGATACTCTCAAAATTAATCATACCTGTTTTATACACAGACCCATTTTTTATCATTCAACTAACCCCTCCCCCCCAAAAAATCTTAAAATATAATCCAACTCCAAAGAATGCATGTCTAATACAAATTACAGTGATAGTATACACTATGATTTTATCCAAAGAACAAAATAGAGGCAAATCAAATGAGGATTCATCCTTTACTATCAAGTAAACAAAGAGTACTTTCTTAAAAGCTATCCAGATAAGCCACCCTATGGTGCAACTGATCCAGGTTTGATATTTCGATATGGAATATCTCCTCTACCCTGTCAGTTTGAGTATAATCTTTAACTTCCCTTTTATCTGTTTTGCTAAATAAGTAAATGTACTAACCAATGAAATAGAAGTCTATATATTAAAAAGTCAATCATTCCGGTGCATATGACTGCTTGTTAAATTTTATTTTCTTTTTTTCTCCTTTTTGAAAATAGCTCATTCTCCTGGCCTGCTCTCCAATATTTCATCTCCCATGTTAATCTCCCTTCTGAATTCAAGTTTGAACGAAGAGGATTAAACAATGTAGATTATTTTTACTTTAACTGTTTACTTTCTGTCTCAACTTCATCATTCCATCACTATTTGTATGCTACTTACTCTTAGCAAAGCTACACCAATAAGCACTCCATTTATTCAAAAATCACCCTAAACTCTTATGCCACTTGTTCATGTGACGAGGATTTCGTTCTCCCTAAACCGAAACGGTGCATTTTTCAATTGGTGGGTTTTTAATCCTGACGTTTTGATTTAGGGGCTCCGTCACTGTTACAGCGAGAGGCCTGATTCCCCCCCTGGAGTAGGCCCATGACCAGGAGGCAAGCTACCAGCAAGCCCTGAGCTGCTCAGAGTCAGCACCCAGCTTGCTAGCACCCCTCCCAGGCAGCCCCGAAGGGCATCGCTGGCATGGAGGGCAGGACCGAGGACCCCCACAACTCAGATGCTACCAGCAGCTCGAGCCCCTCCACCAAAAAAAAAAAAAGAAAAGGATTGGACCCCTCACCATTTTTTCTTTTCCTGGCAGAGCCTGCCTGCAGCCGGGGGACAAGGAGCCAGCAGGTGAAGTGGTCCCCAAGCTGCAAGGGGCCCTGGTCCTTCCTTCCATGTTGGCGGCACCCCCAAGGTCACCTGGGCGGAGTGACAGCAAGCCAGGTGCTGGCTCTGAGCTGGGGCAGCATCTGGCTCACTATCAGCCTGCCTGGGTGGCCCCATGGGGCACTGCCACCACAGAGGGAAGGATCAGGCCCCCTGAAACTCAGACACGGCCAACAGCTCACCCTCTATCCACAGAAGAGATGGGCAGATTCCACTGGTGGGGAAAGCAGGTCCCTTTTCACCATTTTTTTTCCCCTGCCGGGGCTTCCAACACCCCATACACACTGTCCCCACTGCCCTCCTGCTGCCTGAGATCACTCAGGCACAGGCTGACTTGCCCCTGGGGCAGTGTAGGAAGGTGGCAGGAGGGCAGCTGGCTGTGCTCTGCAAGCCCGTCTGGGCTTCTAGCATCCCGTGCACCGTCTCTGCCGCCTTCTCTGGTCACCAGCACACCCAGTCACCCTCCTGCCGCCTTCCCTCACTGCCCCAAGGGCAAGCCAACCCATTCCCAGGTGGTCCCACACATCAGGAACAGTGCACAGGGCGCTGGAAGCCCACCAAGCCTCTCACCGCTTTTTTTTACTCTGTGGAGCTGGCCAGGAAACAAGCTGCTGGTGGGTCACGTGGCTCCTGAGCTGCAGCTCCGGGAATTAATGTATCACTGCAATTTGTTACACAGCAAAATAAAATACATTGGAATGTGTTTTAGTCTGCTCCATAACAAAGTCATGTAAATCGCAATACACTACTGCACATGTACAGTGTGACAAAATTAAAATCACTAAAAAATGGGCAATTAAACCACTAAAAAGGGCAATTTTATCACATGTACAAGCGACCTTAGGGTTTTAGGTACAGTTTTCCTACTTCCTTTCTCTCTTTCTGAAGTCTGCAAATATTCCTCTCATCTTTGAAACAACCTCTGCATCTGAAAATATTTTGACAATTTTTTGAATAAGACTCGCATTCAGGCATTTATCTCCTCTTGTTTTTTCTGGTATCATTTCATCTCTTTGCTATTTCCCTTTGACTTTCCAGACTTTAAAAATCTCAAACTACAGTGCCTCATTCTACCAATGTATCTTGATATTGGTTTCAAAACTTAACAGAAAAAATACTCATTAGAAGGGCTACATTCACCAGATAGGAAGGAAGGAAGGAAGCCAGTGTAGACTGTCATAGAAAACAAATCAGCTGTGGGGCATCGCTGAAGTGGCAGAAAAACTGTAAACCATTCTCAAGAAGTAGTTAAAAAAGTGGACTGTATTGACCAAAAGAAGCAAATTGAGCCAATTGCTCATCAAGAATGACCGGGGAGGGGGAGCAGGCGGGGATGGAGCCCCAGGCCCCAGCCCCATCTGGGTCTGCTCCCCCTTCCCTCCTGCTGCTTGGGGTCTGGGCCCGCTCCCACCCTCCCTGCTGCAGCAGGGGGAAGTAGGAACGGGCCCAGGCCCAATGTGGGGGAGGACCAGGCCCAAGGGTGGAGAGAAGCTGGGCCACGGTGGCGGCGGGGTGGGGGGAGTTGGGGTTGGGGAGGAGTAGGAGTGGGCCCAGGCCTGACGGGGGGAGGAGGCTCACTCCTCTCCTCCC